GGGGCTGTCTTCAATCTGAAATTTTAGTATTCAAAACAAAAATTTTTAGTGCACATACAAAATTGGAGATCAATGAGAAAGAAAAACAAAGACAAGGTGATAAGGGAAGCAGATGAATGACCCGGGAAAAAAATAGTGGGAGTACAATAGCAAGAAGGGCAAAGATGTTATATGTATCTATCACCGCCGATTATATTTATAAATAGATGATGAGAGCGTTCATGCTCAAGTGATATCAATGGTAGATCGACGATCTTGAGCGATAAGATCGACGAAGAGAGGTGGTGTGCTAGATAACCATTAGCGATATAGGGAATACAAACAAGAGGAGGTGGTAGTGTTGGGATGTAAAGGAATCAAAGATGAGAAACTCTTATTGTTGGAGATGGATCTGTAAATTGCAAAAGTGAAATATACGATGAATGCGAATGAAGATGCATCTATATGTCTTTATAGCGATCGACACAAAGGGCAATTGAAAGTTGTAAAATATGTGTATCGTGCAATGGTATGTATCATTTAAGAAAAGATGTATTGATAGCTTTACAGGAATTGGTTCCACTCTTTATGTAATAAATAAAAGACCTAGTTTTTCAAACACTTCACATCAAATATAGCATGAATTTCCTTGGTACAAAGATTGATCAATTGACTTTATTTACTCAAAGCAACAGCTCATTAGCTTCGTGCCCAACACTGGATGATTTGATTTGTAGTGGGAAATTGAAGAAAATTGGCACTTGAGCTGCAAACAAAGAAAATCTGTCAAATGTGAGAAATTTGGCAAACTTTATGCCCACCCCATTTTCTTCACCAAACCAGAAGCTCCTCCGCCCATTTCACACTTTCAAAGCGAGTCTTATTGGGCTGAAATCAGGTCCTTCTCTTTGGGTTCTATTATAACTTCCGCTTTCCGGATGTTTCGAACTTGCTGTTGGAGTAGATCCAATCCACAGGTTACGTTCTTAAGGTTGCAAATTCACAGCCCGCAGGGTAGATGTCACCGAACACACAATAACTGAAAAAAAAAATAATAATGTTAAAAAAATTAGTAATAAAATCAGTTGAATCATGATTAGCACCGCTGGAACTAAATCAAGTTTGATGTTAGATCACCCAAGAATTGCTTACTCTACTATTAACAAGGCAAGTGAAAAGCTATTTTTGATCGGTTGAATCCACATGCGCCTTTTATTTTATCAGTTTAATCTTACCAAAAAGCTATTTTATCCGTGAAATGAAAGCATCAACAGCCAAACAGCATACGGCCGCGGATCTTGTCTTGTCAATACTCTACCGATTCTTTTCAGAAATGTAAGGTCAAGCATGCTTGGATTGCTTGTTTCCGTCGGAAAATATTATCGTTTTTCGTGATCACATTTCTCTGTCATCTTTTTTCCTCACATATATCAAATCGCTACAGTAATTTTTTTATGAAAAATGACGGAAAATGCAATGCAAACACAACCTAAATCCGCATCCCTAAAAGGTCGACGAATTTGTTGGATAGTTTGGTATTTTGAGTTTCGACTTAATTTTCAAAACGTAATCGAAAGCGAGACCTCAACCACACAACAGTGTGTTAGCATTTCATACGTTCAAGCTAAAACAACCAATTCGCCTTAAGCGAGTTGATCATCAGATGAAAGTATAAAATACAAAGAGTGTATACTAATACATCTCTTTGCTCTAAAGATCAGATTTTTTTTCCTCTAATTTTAAAGGGTGTACAGTAGTACATTTTTTTACTCTAAAGATCGGATCCTCTCCATCTAACTTCACTGGCTCAATTCGACCTTTTTCTAGTATAGGTTGCAATAGAATTAAGAGTACAGGTGAATGATTAGATGCAAGCTTGTCAATTTGAAAAGTTCTGTTCCATGCCTACATGGTTGAATTAATGATTATACACAAGCTTGTCAATTGGCTAAGTTCTGTTCCAAGAAAGCGGTACCGGGGAATGGGGATGTGGGTAGCGGATTTCACGGGCAAAAAATTTGGCCACTGGCTCGCGTATGTGGGAGGAGAACTCGGGAAGGAAATTTCGCGTATCCTTGGCAAATCTGACCAGAGTTCAAAGTGACGTTTATGGTACTTGTTGTCCCGACTGTGGACTTGAAAATTCTAGGAAGCTTCTCAAGAATTTAAAGCACGAAGAAATACTGCTGCTAGTTCTGCTCTGCATGTCTTTATTTTGATGGTTGGTTTACTTTCATAATATGTCTATGATTACGGGCTTTGATTGAGTTATTTGTTTGATCTTTCCACTCTCAGGAGTATTATTTGGTTTAATCAGGGAAAAGAAAAGAGTCGGTTTGGATTAGCTGTTTTTTATGGTATTGTTGAAAAATTTTACTGTAACAGAGTTTTTAGAGTATATTTTGGGATATTTTTAGAAAATATTTTGGAATATTTAAGAGTAGTAGAGTTTTTAAAATATATTTTGAGATATTTTTTAAACATTAAAAAAATTTAGATTATTTTCTAGAGTATCTTTTAGAGTACATTTCAAAAATTTTTATAGTATTTGAAAAACTGAAGGATTCAAACAGAGCATAATCGATGAAAGAAGTAATTGCCTAATTGCAGATTTATAGCTAAGCTAGGAAACTTGCTCGCCAGTATTATTGCTTTGGATACCCCTTTTTATGCTTTAGGTAATTAGGTGTTACATTTTCTGTCACCTTACATATCGGTGATACATTACTCTCATGACCTATATCAGCAGTTAATCGGATATTAAATAACGAAAGAACGTGTTATTTACTTGTATATCTGAAATATACTAATCTAGTACGGTTATAAGTGACAAACAAATCTATTTAACTAAATTTATTTATATCCGCTTATGAATAGATGAACATGTGTATCTTAAGTTTTTATATATGGGTATAAATGGATTGCCCAATAATACCCATTTAATAAATGAGTATTATTGGGTGGCTTATTGTCAGGTAATTTACTAAATCCAATTAATCCATTTAGAATTATCTTTCCCAAGTTTTATCTTTTCCCCAACTCATTTAGAAGAAATTTGAGGCTTGCGTCTAATTATTGAACTCATTGTTGGAAACTTTCATGCATTGATATTGTTGAAACCTTGTATACAGTGGAATGTTTTATTTTTTAGCCTTAACAAACATTTGATGCATTTTTCATACAGATACATATCTTCCTTAATTTTTTTTTTTTGCAGATTCTTCATTTTGTCATAATGTTAACTACTTCTGTTTCATTATTATTATTATTAGTATTATTATTTGTCGGTTTTATTTTATCATTTATTTTCTTGTAGTTTGTTAACTTGCTTATTTTTCATCATTACCAATTCATGACAAGTTTTAGCCTCCTTTCCTACCTTTCCAAAATAAAATTTTAAATTTACACACGAAAAAATGCAAGGGGTTCAAAGTTTTTGGATTAAATTTTTATATTAACTTTCATAGTATTTAGTTCAAAATTTTATATTCTTATTGTTCAATTAGTAAATAGTATGTAATTTTCTGACATAGAGCATGGAGGGGAAAAAATTGGTAATTAGATTTATTGAGCATTATAAGTAAATATTTAAAACTAATGATGGGTGCAAAGGGTAGTATAAATTGATAATTTAGTTTGCAAACATGAATTTAAATGAATTTACAAAAAGTTAAAATAAATGGGTAATTGGGTTACCTAACTCATTTTTTTATTTACCCATTTATACTCATCTAATTAAATAGGTACAAATGAGTTGATTCACTTAAACCCATTATTCATTTTAACCCGTCAAAATCTGTCTAAATCACCTATTTTGACACCTTTAAGTACGGTATATACCACAAAATTTTTTTTTACGGTATCCAATAATTAGATAAGTTATCCAATGAAACTCACATATCTACTGAATCATTTAGCACATGACAGATTTAGTTACAGGTCTCTAGCAGCATACAGGTTAACAGGCATCAGCTGCTTCCCTTGAAATGGAAGCAATTAATGCTGGTGGTCTGCAATGATCGAGAGGAGCTTGCATACACATTGCAATGCTTATTTCTGCCCAACATAATTCCAAGTGGATACCTTTGAACTAATCCTGATTTACAGGACTAATACTTCAATATGTGACGGATTGGAGTAGTTTGGGTCATTCTGACAAGTTTTACAAGAGGAAGTGTCAAAAATAGAAGTTGGAGCTATAAAATAGAAAATTTCTGAGAGTATTTATTAGATGCACTGAAGTCAATTCCCTTCTGTAAGATCATGACTTTTAATGTTTTTACTTTTAATTTTGACAAACAGTTGGCTGCTCAAGTTTTGGCCTGCACAAGCGATAGTTCAAAACTTTGAATTACCAAATTTCGCTATATGTTTGATTAGCAACTTAACTTTTGTGGCAATTCACATTGATATCTGCACAATGCAAGTTCCATACTGTAGTAGCTAAGTAGAGTTTCAAAGACAGAAATGGTTGGACTTGGATCAGAGGGAAGGATCGAGAACGAAAACCAGACAGGAATAAAAGGAAACTGTTGGCTTCTGGTGACAATTCTAACCACTGATTAGACCAGTTTACCGGCAGCAATATACGCATCAAAGTGGCAACATCACATTGCGCGAGAAACCCTGAAGAGTCGCAGTCATTATATTATTTGATCCCTTCTGCTATTCTTGTAGTAATTTGTAGTGTGGGTGGGATATTCTTCAAGCAATTGTCCAATACTCGACTAATTAGTTTTTCTCCACAAGATAAACAACGGCGCTGATTTCCTACTAACCTTTGAGCAGCAGTAGTCTAAACTAGACTAATTACTGCCTCAACATCTCAGCCCATTGATCCGTGCGAGACAAAACTCTGCTATTATAGGTTTAGGCAGCGTAAATCCATTCGACTACGTGGATACCATGCAAAAGATAGAAAGAAACCAATATTGCAGGCAGGTTCCAGGAAACTTCCTCCTTCAGCCTCCTAATCTTGTCCTTTCTCATAAACATTAATAAAAGTAACCGAATACTCGTAACCAGAGGCAAACGAAACTTGGCTTCTTTAGCCTACCGAAACCGATCGAGTGATGATGCCAGTACTAGCACTGCTCTGGTACAAAACGTAAAACAAGCTAGGAGTTAAATCTATTTAAGAAACGATGGCTTCAATGCAGGAACAGAACTGGGATTTGGAGAGTGGAGACTGTATACAGAAAGAGACTAGCAGCAGCAGCCAGACGCCATCCAGCAGCATTTTATCATCTTCTTTTCTGCGGAGAAGACCGAATCAAGAAAGGCCTCCCGTAGGGATGTTTAAACAATTCTTGAATAATCTGCGACTGGTTTTTCTTGGAACCAAACTCTGTGTCCTCATTCCAGCCATCCCTTTGGCCATCCTCGGTCAGTGTTATGGTTTCATGACACGAGTAAGTTGGGACATGTGTAATTATTCTGGTCATCTCCCCATTTTTATGCCATTCCCCTCCCCACCCCCCCTTCCAGTGTCTTTCAATTTCAATTTATGTACAGATAGATATTCATGCATGAAATCTGTTTTAAAAACGGTATAGCAAGAAAAATTGTAATGGCACACCAAGAACAGATCCGTTAAACCATAGGCCATAGCCATTGAACATGGTAACAATCACGATTTATCGTTTGCCGTTTGATGATCCCCGTCTTGTCTCACGATTTATCCTTATTCTTTTCTAGTCCTTTTTGATTGAATTATTCCCCCTCACATTGTGCGAGTAAATGTTAATGCTTCTCGATGTCCTTTTGGGCATTAATTTGTTTAATTACCTTTCTTAACAAATAATTAGCAGCAGTGGATATTTGCGTTGAGCCTGCTAGGCCTCGCCCCACTTGCGGAACGTATGAGCTTCCTAACTGAGTAAGTTCGGTTTCCTTCGGTGCACTACGTCATTTGGTACTAATTAAACTGTTGGCCTTTTTTTGACTTGAGCTGACAATTATTTCTTTTTGTTTTCGGCTGGCTGAACCAATGACATAATCAATTCCAAAGGCAAATAGCATACTTTACCGGTCCAACAGGTATGTTATGATATCCACTGCCGATTTATCACAAAGATAATAGTAGTGGCAATTCACTATTTATTTTTGTCATAGAGACTAATAAATAAATAAAAATTATATAATTAAAGTAATGGTAAGAGCGTGATTGATAAAAATGGGAGTGCAAATAATAATATATTTTTCGCAATTATAGTACCTCGTACGTTTATTCGTTTTTCTTCTCAAAAAAATAGATGAGATCATTGCAGGCCTTAATTTGACACGTGTACGTAAATGTTTGCATGCATGCAGTGGGAGGCCTGCTGAACGCAACATGTGGCAACGCAACAGAGCTTATACTTGCCTTGTTTGCTCTTCGCGAAAGGAAAATACTTGTTTTGAAATACTCTCTTCTGGGTTCCGTCCTTTCAAACCTTCTTCTCGTATTGGGGTCCTCTCTTTTCCTCGGAGGCTTGGCCAATCTTAAGATGGAACAAACATTTGACAGGGTACGTAAGATGACTGTTGCCGAAGAAAACTAGATAATTACTAGGCTATACCTGGTACCATGAAAATTGTTGCACCCGTAATCCCTTATAATAATACAGAATAGATTATATACGGAGGAAAAAAATTAAGTCGGTTTTCTTGCCTGTTATCCCCATAATTAATATCAGATTCTTCTCTAGTTTTAGTTGTAATTAATTTTAATTTTGGATAAACGCAGAAGCAGGCTGATGTAAACTCACTTCTTTTGTTGCTGGGACTGCTTTGCCATGTGCTTCCGCTGATTTTTGGAAACTCTATAGAACCACAACTACTTGATGATATGGACCAAAACTCGGTCGTTTGGCTGTCGAGAACCAGCGGCATTTTAATGCTTGTGGCCTATGGGGCTTACCTCTTCTTCCAATTGAGAACCCACCGGCAGTTTTTTGAAGCTGAAGGGGTAATTGTTACGATATCCGCTGCTAATCTGCCTAATGCCTCGCATAAATTCTTGTCTGGGAATATCAAAGTTCGATAAGGGTCCCAAAATGAAGTCATTTCTAAGTAAATGGCTACTGAAACTTCTCACCAAAAATAAAATAAAATAAATAAAGAAAACCATCGAAAAAGGGATTACTACCCTTTATCATAATTTGTCAGTTCCCAGAAATTAATATGTATTTTGCCGGGTTGAAGTTAGGAGCAGACTGATACTATTCCTATTACATTTGCAGGAAGATGAAGATGAATTGTCCGAAAATGAAGCAGTGATAGGCTTTTGGAGCGCCTTTATTTGGTTAGTCGCGATGACAATAATTGTTGCTATTCTGTCCGAGTACGTTGTGGGTACAATCGAGGTACATATACATATATAATCCGCATAATTTGCTGCGGAATAAAGCTTTATTTATTTACGGTACCCCTTTTTTTTCATGAAAACAAAGAAGTTACTACTATATACTGCTTCTCTCAATCAGGCTGCATCAGATTCTTGGAAAATCTCCGTGAGCTTCATAAGCTTAATTTTGCTTCCAATCGTTGGGAATGCAGCAGAACATGCAGGATCAGTCATATTTGCTTTGAAAAATAAGCTGGTAAATTTTACTACACATTGCCTTATAACTATTCAGCTAATGTAGCATCCTCATGCACATTTGGGATGCATGCGCAGGATATAACTTTGGGAGTCGCCTTGGGATCTGCAACTCAAATTTCGATGTTCGTGGTAAGGAACAGAAAATCATAAGTGATATTCTTAAGACCTTTTTAACGTAGAAAAATATTATTTGCACTCCCGTTATCATTTTATTATATAGTTTATATTTATTGAATTATATGATAAAATAAATAGCGAAAGTGCAAATAACAAAAAATAAATTATATTTCCCTGGGTAGATAAACGCTTCCCTACTTGATCATTGCATGGTGATCCCAGGTTTTTTTTGGCCAGAGAAATTAGCTAGTTTAACTGAATTGTTAATTTTATGAACTTGAAGTCCTAGCACAACTCCGCCCTGCAGGTTCCAGTCAGCGTTATAGTGGCATGGACAATGGGAATCCCAATGGATCTGGATTTCGGCCTTCTTGAGACTTCTTGTCTCGGTTTTTCAATCATACTCACAGCTTTCACCTTGCAGGTAATCCAATCGGTCCATGTACATTTAGTTCTTATATATGTTCTTTCTACAAATTGTGATGCACATAAATGTTGTCATCTGTGTAGGATGGAAATTCACATTATATAAAAGGAGTGGTTCTTTGTCTGTCCTACGCTGTAATTGCTGCGTGCTTCTTCTTTCACAAAATGCCAGCCGGTGAGTCCCTCTACCAAAGATGAAAGTAGGATGCTTTTCTAGTGACTATTACTAGTTGTCTTTTACCTATGTATAATCCAACTTTTTTTTTTTTTTTCCTTTGTCATTGCTAGATCCAACCAAAGCCGGTATGTGAGAGAAATCAACTGGTATCTTGGTTGCATAAGCCGGTTTCGCCCTACCAAAGGGAGCTTAATTTGTTGTTAATATGATAACTTTGGATTGTAATTTTTTTTAATTGACAAAAAAAATTCAGTTTAAAATTTGTGCGCGAGGATTAATGTGGCAAGAAAGATTTATAGTCGTTTCAAAAGGAGGGCTGAAATGAGAAAAAGAAGTCGGCAATGGGAGTTTTAAGAGTTTTTTTTTTTTTTTTTTAAAAAAAAGAGTCATCAGCTCAAAGAACATGGGATATAAGAGGCATCGATCGGTAGCGCGCAGATGAAGAATACAACAATTTCTGTAATAAGACCTGGGGAAGTAAGAACTTTCGACGTGTCAGGAACAAATTAAATTTGATAATATTTTGTACTCGAGGCAGCCCAAGGCATCTTTCCTGGGTATTGTCTCTATGAGCTGGTCACATAGTACTTTAACATTGACGAAGAACTACTTTTCCATCCACCATAACGGAGCATATATTTGTCTGCTTGTGACTTGATCCCTCATAGATAAAACTGGATCTAGCTTGCAACTATAGCTGCCAAACAAACCTATTTAACTAAATTTATTTATATATGCCCGTGAATAGATGGATATGAGTATCTTAAATTATTGCATATGGATATAAATGGGTTACCCAGGATAACCTAGCAAACCCAATTAACCCATTTAGAATTGTCTTTCCCCAAACCTCCTCTCTTCTCCCATCTTTTTTTTTTTCAAAATTTTCATTTTGTCATGATTAGACCTGACAATTTTGCTCAAAATCCAACAACCCACCCAATCCACCATTAATTTGAGAGGTCGGGTTGGGTAAGTTGGGTATTGGGTCAATTTTGGGTTTGGTAATAAAAATCCACATATATTTTGAGCGGTTTGGGTATTTATGTTGGACACCCATTACCATTTATGTTGGACATCCATTACCCAACTTAAGTTAAAAAAATAAATTAACAAATTAAAATCAAGAAACAAGAAAAGACTAGCGACTATGTAATGAAGCCAAATGTTGGATCAAGCAAAACATCCCCTGGCCAAAGTTGTATTCGGCAGACTTGTCCAAGTCTTATCTATAGTTGCTTCCTATTCCATGGCTTGAACTTTTCTATAATATATACATATTAGCAAAGTAGCATTTGCAATTTGTGAATTGTAGCAAAGTAATAATTGCAGACATTATATCATATCATATTAGAAATTAGATTTTTTTTTTTGTTTACATTCTTTCAGGCGTACTGCTTTAGTCATCATGGTGACATCCTAATATGCATCCTAGACTATATTGAAGCCAGATATGATCAGCTAAAAATCCCTGCAAATTGTTGTTGTATCCAACTTGGACAAAAAATTGTTGTTTCGGTCTCTTAGTTTTGGACCAAAGCTATACCCAATTTGAAAATCCTTACTTGTATAAAAAATAATGAGTTCATCCAAGTAATAGTGTGTATTTTAGTGCATTTATATGTGTAAAAATAACGTATTTCAAAAGAACTTAAGAAGTGGGTGTGTATTTGTATTTGTGAGTGTTTTAGTGTGTGAAAATATGTTTATTTATGTAAAAATATGTTTATATGTGCGAAATTTTTTTATATATAAAAATGTATTTGTGAAAGTTTATGTTTCAAAATCTATTAATTCATATATTGGATTATATTTGGGTCATGGGTTTGAGATAATCCAATATGACCCAACCCAAAATTAACCCAACTAAAGTTGGACGGGTTGGGTGTAACCCATTTAAATGAAAACCCAATACAACCCCGCCCAACCCGTCCAATTGCCAGGTATAGTCATGATGTTAAATACTTTTGTTTCATTATTATTATTATTTGTTAGTTTTATCTTATCATTTTATTTTCTCTTAATTTGTTAACTTACTCATTTTTCAGCATTACCAATTTATGACAAGTTTTAGCCTCATTTCTTACTTTTTCAAAATAAAATTTTAAATTTATACACGAAAAAATGCTAGAGATTCAAAATTTTTGGATTAAATTTTTATGTTAACTTTTATAGTACTTAGTTCAAAATTTTATATTCTTATTGTTTAATTATTAAATAGTATGTAATTTTGCGACATAGAGTACAGATGGGAAAAAATTTGATAATTAGGTTTATTGAACATTATAAGTAAATATTTAAAACTAATGATGGGTGCAAAGGATGGTATAAATTGATAACTTAGTTTGCAAAAATGAATTTACAAAAAAGTTAAAATAAATGGGTTATAAATGGGTAATTGGGTTATCCAATTCATTTTTTGACTTACCCATTTATACTCATCTAATTAAATGGATATAAATAGATTGACTCAATTATATCCATTATCCATTTTATTCAACCCAAATCCGCTCAAATCACCCATTTTGACACCTCTACTTGCAACTAGGACAAGTGGACTGTGAGTTTAGATTGGACATTAATTAGATCAATTTGCCATGTCGTATCCATGAAATTTTGTGATGCCTAGTCCATGAATTCCAAAATTATAACTGGCTGAATGCTTGTTGCAAAAGGTGTCAAATGATTTCCAAATGATTAAAAAAAGAAAAAGGGCTTGAAGTTCCTTGAGATGTGATTCGTGGAGAAAGGGCTTTGTACGCTGAGCATGGAAGCATTTTCCGTGACAGACAAGTAAAACATTATAGAGTATGTGATTGTTTTTACGTATGGTTGCAAATACTCAAGATTCACATATGGTTTTCCTCATTCCTCAATTACAATTGTAATGAGAAAGAATTTGGTGATTGTTTTTATTGGCAAGGATTAAAAACATAAGACCATGCAAACAGATGAGAAAAATGTAGTTTTGGTATCCAAACTTTGATAGATGAACAGTTTTAATTCTCAAACTTTGGACAAAAACAAATTTGGTACCCAAACTTTTAACTTTTGAACACATTTAGTAGTTTTGACGGTTTTTTCCCAAATAACTGTTTGAAAGAGTCACGTGATAGTCACATGTCTAATAACTATTAATAAAAAATTGCCATAAAATGTAAAATATCTTTTTGACAAAATTATTAGTTCTTAAATTTAGTACTTAGTGTCAGAAAGATATTTTTCTTGATAAAATTATTAGTCCTGAAATTTAGTACTTAATGTCCAAAGGAAATTTTACATGACACTTAGTGCCAGAAGAATATTTTACATATTTTGGCATTTTTTTATATAATAGTTGTCAGACATATGATTATCACGTAACTTTTTTGGATAATAATTTGGAAAAAATCCGTTAAGGGTACTAAATGTGTTCAATAGTTAAAAAAATGACTATTAGATTTGTTTTTGTCCAAAATTTGGGGATTAAAATCACTCATGTGTCAAAATTTGGGTATCAAAACTATAAACAGATTGCCCCCAGGGCACATGGCGCAGCGATTGAGGGGTCGGTCTTGAGTTGCTGGCTTCCCCACTGACCGGGGTTCGATTCGTGTCCGTTGCGCTGCACATCCTGACTCGCCCGGGAAAGTTGTATGGGGCTATCGGCTTCCCTCCGATTTGGTATGCCGGCTCGGGTCCTAAGGGTTCGGATCGAAGCATGTTCCGGATTACAAAAAAAAAAAAAAAAACTATAAACGGATTTGGTCCATCTGCGAGCATAGGCCCATGGTCCAATTTAAGTAATTGATGTTGGAAGTTCTTTCAGTACCGAACGGGCAATATACACATGCAATAAAATCTTCATTCATTGTACGGATTCTTCCAAAATGTGCAACCATTTTTCGTCTGCTATACACCTGATCATCTACCAATAGACCGAGAACTTGTTAGTCTGGTATCAAAATCAATCTTTTGAAATTAAATATTGCACCCAATTTGGGATTACTCCTTTTCTTTTTCTTTCCAATATTCCCTCTGCTGTGGGTTTTATCATGTCTAGCCCTTGTTGGTTGAACAATCATGTTTAGAAGTCGAACAAAAAGACGTAAAAAGATTTTCAGCTGGTAAGATCCATGAAAATCCTGTACATTTGCAACAAGCTGCAAACGTGCATCCTTAATTTTGCTGTACTACTCGTACAAGTTTCCTTCAAGTTGTGTAAATTTAATTATGACCACATTTCAAATTAATATTGTACATGCAAGTGATACTATATATAACTACGAGACAATGACCACAACGCAAACCAATGTGAAAAACTGCATGGTTAATTATGTGGGCACGTCAACCTGGAGAAGCAATAGGGCAACGCAGGATATTCGGATTATCATGATCCCATGACTAACTTGTAAGAAAGTGGGCATATCGCCTCGCTACTTCTATTAGCTAGAGGACGCACTGTCAGAATAATTCTAGTCTAATAGAAGCGCAGGCATGATGACTAATTGCGGTCTTCACTTGAGAAATGTTAAAGAAACTCAATTGGCTAGTCCTAGAAGTATGTTAAAGATCCTCATTAATTAGTTTAGATCATCATACATAGCCGACCATATCAAATTACTTTGTTCAACCAGGGGGAAAAAAATTGGAATTTGGAAGTCGGTACTTAAATTAAAATCCTCCAACCTTTGAACTTAAGAAAGATTAACTGGAGTTTTTATGGTTATGGTGACCTAAATGAACAAGCACTGACTGGATGCCATCAACAACTAACGTACGTGTTTACATGTGCGGGTGCATGATATGGCAATTCGCATGATTCAGGTGAAGATTATTTAACTCATGCTTTCAAACAATTATGGTGCATCACAAAATATGGCGTCTAAATTGTTGTGCCAACAACACATCCACTGCCACATAAGTCGATTAACAAAGCCAATCGGCCTACTTTTCCCATGTATTATTAAACAAAGCCAATTCTACTAGTTATGTGATGCTATATATGGATTGGAAGTTAAACAAATCTATTGTCAACATTATTGTCAGTCTGTCCCTATCTTGATGCCCTGTGTTTAGCTATTTTTTTTTTTTTTTTTAAAAAGAAGAGGATAAAAATAACGAACACTATGCTGCACAAGCTTTAATAATGGTTGTAACTGTAATGCCAACAAGGTAACGGCTGGTGTCACCATCTGCCTCCCCGAGAGCCATTCAACAAGGCTTTCTCGCCGCAATGACAACTTTTGTCCTTTACTTAATTCATTTCTGAAGCGACTAGTATTCAAGAACATTAACCCCCAGCCCAGCCAGCTGATAGGCAAATGAGTGACTAAATTATTATGCATGTACACGTAAGGGGTGAGGTTGAAACTTGAAATCTTTCTAGAATGAAACCCTTCCTGCAAGTAAGGAGCGATTAACGAGGGATTTGAATTAGGTGCAGAACCCTCTTAAGTGGTGGTTAAGGGTAAGGAACCAGCATTAATGCCAAATACCCTATATATAATGTGGATCAGATCATTATAGAGTGTACTAGTGTGTAGTGAAGCCAAAGGCCCTCCCGGTTACATGAAGCATGGCTATCAATGACTCCAACAACAAAATAGTAGGCGTCCCTGTTAAATGTGTAGCGGTTATCTTCGGAGTCACGGGGCTTGTGGGGAAAGAGCTTGCGAGGAGGCTTCTTTCTTCATCCAGCAAGCGCCAATGGAAGGTATACGGCATAGCTCGAGCACCCCAGATTAAAGAAACCCTCCACAATCCAAATTACCATTTCGTTTCATGTGACCTCCTGAACCCTTCAGAAACTCGGCAAAAGCTTTCTCCATTAGATGATGTAACACACATCTTTTGGGTCACCTGGGCAAGCCAATTCCCCATAGATAGCCCCGAGTGTTGCGAGGAAAACGAGGCTATGATGTCCAATGCCTTGAACGCTATCCTCCCAAGAGCGAAGGCATTGAAGCACGTTTCTCTCCAGACGGGGACTAAGCATTACATTTCATTGCAAGAACAGCCTAATGCTAAAGAAGTTAGTTACTTTGACGAGCAATGTCCTAGGGTGGGCACCGGACATAACTTTTACTATGTCCTAGAGGACTTGCTCCAGGAGAGACTTGGAGGAAAGATTCCATGGTCGATTCATCGGCCGGGTTTCATCATGGGGTGTTCTCATAGATCCTTGTACAATTTAGTTGGTAGTTTGTGCGTTTATGGTACCATTTGTAAGAAATTAAACCTCCCATTTTTGTTTGGGGGGACAAGGGAGTGTTGGGAAGAAATGTCCATTGATGCCTCGGATGCTAGGCTCGTGGCTGAACAGCACGTCTGGGCAGCCACCAATGAAGCAGTACAATCCCCTCGTGGCCAAGCATTCAATGCGATCAATGGATCAGGTTTCACGTGGAAGGAGATATGGCCAGCTATAGGTACGAAATTTGGGTTGTCCATGGAATCATTAGCAGGCTCTGATGCCATGTTCGATCAAGATTTCATGTTTTCTTCGGCTATGGCTCAAAAGGGAGGACTTTGGAAAGAAATAGTAGTGCAAGAAGGTCTAGTCCAAACGGAGATGGAGGAGTTGGCAAATTGGGGATTCCTGGACGTTTTGTTTCGATTCCCAAGAAAAATGTTAGGAACCCGACACAAAGTTGATGGACTTGGCTTCACGGTGAGGTTCCAAGCTTTGGATTCAATACTCTACTGGATTGACGTCATGAGGCAAGAGAAGCTAATTCCATGACCAGAAGAAGAGGGCCTTTTTACTTCTTAATAAAGATTGCCAAAATGAATTTTAAGTGAGAGGTGCTTGACCACTAAGTGGCTGTTGTAGAGTACAAGTATATGGGAAAATGTTCCCCCCCCCCCCCATTTTTTTTCTTTTTTTTTTTGCGGTGGGTAGAATATTCTGTTGATTTGCTCTATGCTGTTCCTGTCTTTTTTTGTAGTGTAAAAAGAATAGACAGGATTAAATCGAACTTGTTAAAAATTATTGTTGATGTCTGCAGGCTCTCTTAATTAATAATGCCTCCTTGATTTACTGATCTGGTCTCTCACAACAAAAAAAAAAAAAGAATAGTCAACTATGACCAGTTTTTAGCCCTCTCCTCGGGAAAACCTCCAGTTCCTGTTTCAAGTGGAGGAACACAGCTATTCTTCGAAGTCCAAACAAATGCCAATTGTAGGCTATTTATAGCCGCGGAAGCGCTTCTTTTTAGTCAAATGTGAATTTTGCTTTTGTATAATCGAAAGCAGAATTTCTCCATTACATTTCAAAAAAAAGATGACAAGTAACGCAACTTGAGGTAATGGCATATTTGAACGAGTAAAATCAGAATGTATCCATTGACTTTCTTTACTAGTGAAATGAGAACCAATCGAAGTTCCCTAATTGCTTACGAATTCTTACCGTTGGTCATTTGGTCCAGTGATCATCACCCTCTTTAGTGATGCTGGAGGTCAGGGGTTCAACCCCTGCCTCCCACAAACTTGCCACTTTACGTGGCTGGTTTTCTGTCCCCACGGAGTAGCTCGAGCGGTCCGTTCCCCTTTTTTAGGATATGTCGACTTTCCTGACTTGTCCAAGGGTTCGAGTCCCACTGTTAACGTGCTCGATGTCGAGTGAGGCCTCCTCCCCGGATCGCAGGGGATTAGTCGGGCCTCGTAAGGATTGACCCGAACACCCTGTGTTGACCAAAAAAAAAAAAAAAAAAAAAGAAGTATCTCAACAATTTTTATGGCAGCCTTATTCTGCACAGGTACTCAAGAGTAAAAGTTCCAACTTGCCAGTACACAAATAAAACAAAACGTAAGGCCATATTCTAAATATAATGAAACTAATTAATGTTTAAATTTTCCAAGTGAGACTTTGAAATTTGCATGTTCGGATTGGAGTTTCTGAGAGTTCTTTATATGAAAAGTTACACAGTGACAATGTAATATATGTGAGATGAAACATAATTGAGAAATGTGTCAAAAAGATATTTCAAAAATAACAAATTGTTAGTTTTCCTATGATATTGTGGTTCTAGATTGATTTTATTTGCAATGTGTAGGTATTGATTCAAGGGGTATGATTTTTTATTAGATCTACATATTGTTGAGCATTGTAAACACTTAAATATTAATTCAACGGATATGATTTTTATCAGGTCTTCATATTGAGTATTGTAAATACGTATTTAAATTTCAAAAAATCAATTATACGTTCTCTCTCTCTCTCTCTCTCTTATTTGGGTGCCATTAGTTGTCATATGTAACCTCGTTTCTTAAGGGTTGAAATTCAGACAATCTTGCGGGTGAAAATGTGAGCGTATTTGCCTCTGATCTGAATCGTATTGGATGGTGCCTGGTAGCCTTTTTACAGCTTCAAAATTCTCAAGCAGAAGCCAAGAATAAATAGCCTGATACATTCTAACAATCCGAACAGCTTCAACCACTCTTCACGCCGACGGTTGGACAAAAGAATTTTTTTTTTTTAAAAAAAGGTACATAGAGAGTACCTTCATAGTGAATAACTCCGATGCGTTGCGCATTGGTTGATTAACATTTCCACAATTTTGTCATTATTTAGTATTTACAAAAGGTTAAAATATAGTCGCTCTGTGGTAAAAAAAAAAAAAAATTTTCCTGAACATGATACTTTTCTCTAGGTTCAACTAGTACATCAATGATCATACTAATTATAAAGAATAAAGGGTAAAATACTAAAAAACTACCTGTGGTTTGACAAATGTTTAATTTAGCTCCATTTGATTTAGAAACACACACTATAACTCCATGTAATTTTAACTAAATTAAAAATTGGGTAGATAGCATCATATCAATATTGCCCCTATTATATGTAAGATGCTTTCATTCAATTTTCACTTTAGTCAAAACCGTAGGAAGTTATAGTGTAATTTTTCAAATTAGAGGAAATTAAATTGAATATTTGACAAATCATAGGAAATTCATTTATATAGGGGCAATATTGACATTTCGCATATAACCGTTAGATTAAATGCTTTCCATTCAATTTTCAATTTAGTTGAAACCACATGAAGTTATAATGTAGGTTTTCAAATCAGAGAGAGTTAAAATGAATATTTAGCAAACCACAAGGAGTTTTTGGTATTTTACCCAAGAATAAAAGAAAATTGTTTATCTAGCTGCCTTTCCAAATTAATGTCTTGCTCTTTTCTTCATCCCCTTTTTCTTGGGTATGTGTGCGTGTCAAGTGTCTTCCTCCTGTTTATGTCGAAAAAAACAATCACCAGCACAACAAAGCTGAGGAGGACCTTGCACAATCTGTCAGCGGACGCAAAATACATGGCCAAAGGGAAAGGTTGCTGCTGTACTTTCCTTGTATCCATCAAGCATGTAGCGTAGTAAATTTGTTTTATCAAGAAATCTGTAGGCTTTGTCATGATGCTGCTTTCCAGCTCCACACAGTTCAGCAACTCAGCAACGCCATTGACGCAAATGTCTTCCTGACTTCCAATGAATGCATTACTGTCACAACAATTCTAATATCAGCAACTTCCTTCATCTTTTCTGGAAATTGAGGACTTTGACAGAGATTGCAAAGATGCCAAAAAATAGAACACTGAAGCCAAGAAGTACAGCAACTGAAACTCCAGTCATCCCTGGGCCATAGCCAAAAGTAACCTCAATATACTCTTTTACAGAGCCCTCAAATCCAGGCCCTACAATTTTGGTTTCCACGTCTCCAAGTTGGGAGGTGATGATGCCCCGCAATGTCCACGCAATTGGGCAGATATAATAGAACCATATCCACCATCCAGGGATGCTCTATACATATTTATTGGACAAAAAATATCAGTACGGTACGATCGAGTTAGTATAATGTTTTAATGGTGTGCTTGCGGCTTGGTCACATTAATGCTACACTTACCGGTTTAGGTACTAAAAAGCCGGAGAGGAGATTCCACAATGAGTAGAATGCTGAAGAGATAACAGCAGCCAAGTGCTGATTGGGTGTTAGACCCACAGCCATCATGCCATAGAAGGTAAAGTACATGAACGTGAGAAAATTGAACACCAGATAGAGGAAAAATTTGCCTGCAAGAAGAAACAAGGTACATAAATCAGCCTCATTGCATCTCCAATTTCCTTTTCTAATAAGCAATCAGATGATCTAATGTGACCCCAACGTTTACTTTGGAGGCGTCAATACTTGCAAAGGAGGACAAATGATCAATATGTTACAACAGCTTGAAAAGAAGTGCGGGGAAATTAAAATGAACGAACTTATGACAACCTTCTGACACTTGATCAACAAAAGACAGCCACATTGAGGCAAGACTACTTCAAGTTCAAAAGCGCATGCTTTTTTTTTTTTGGTTGGTACAGAAATGTGGTTAACGAGAGAGAGAGAGCTACAGCATAGGGAATGTAATTAGTCCCCTTATCTCTATAAATATGAAGGAATTATTCCTCAATAATGGAGTAATAATTAATAGTATTGTAAAATGAGTGGCGCAAAGTCAAAAAAAGGATTCTGACCAAACACTATTGATAATCCCTCTACCCTTAGAATAGTTCCTTACAATTTTTTTTAAAAAAAAAAACCACTTCCGTCACTAACGGTGAAAGGTATCATTGAGCATTATGTTGAACTAAATGGTTATTTCGGATGTTGAATTCTGCTCTTTCACCATTATGCCAAAGCCCAAAGAGACAACAAAAAATAGGATATGTAAGGCAATAATTTTCTGAAATAAAAAGTCACACGTAAGTGGTCAATCCTTATGTCCGTGATCGTCTTATGTTCATAGGTCAATTTCTTTAAGCATGTGAAACTGGAAAGACCCGAGTATCCTAACAAAAAAAAGTTTAATTAGGTTCAGTTTCGGGTCATAGAAGGTAACGATGTATTTAAACCACTCAAAAACAAGCTTTTGTGCCCTATTTCAAGCACGACTCGTGATGGGATCAACCCATATAAGTAGAAGAAAAAGAGGACTGTGTATACCTAATGTCCTTTCAAAGTTGATCATGAAGTACGTAATAACACAGTATATCAATGCCTGCACTGCAACATATGGGATCTCCACAAGACCCTGAATAAGCAAAGAAAAAGTTGAAACTGAGTACTGAATTCCGCAAATGCAATAGGAGTAAAAAAGTCGAGCTTCCCTAGCAATGAGGTGACATCAGAATACTGACAACCTTTTATTCATAGCCCCTTGATAAGCATCTCATTCTTACACCTTTTATTCATCTTTTTTCATACAACCTTAACTGAACTTTGTTTAGAACACAGTACCTGTGCTGCGGCATAAGGATATGGGCCATACATTCCTGCAGCTCGCTCTCTATAGAATACTGTCCTCTCAATTGAAACAATTGGTTGTACAGAAGATGAGTTATTAACCCCAAGGAACATGGCAGAAGCATATAGAGCTCCCATTACAACAAATAAGTTTTGTATGGAGTCCCTGCAAAATCATTCGAATCTCAACATCTAAACTTAGGTTATAACTCTGCAAACGGTTAGACAAATTAGTTTTGACCAATATCCCAGGCTGACATACTTAAAGTGAAAAAGTATCACCATCGACCAAAGAGACATGCATTATACTTTCAATCAGCAGAGGACTAGCGTTTGTCTTAGTTACAGCCCCAAATTTACAAAAAGTTCCAGAAACGAGTCAAAGACAGTTCACCCCAGAAATTGCATAATGAGCAACATATGTATAGCCATAGCATATAATATACTTGACAAGATTGATAGATCAACCCACTTGATTTTCTCAAATTAGTAGCTTATATTGATATATGACTTGAGCATCATACTGAATTACTAGAAATAAAAAAAAGGTCATTGAAAAATGAGAAATTCTTTAAATCCAGAAAAGAAGACCATATCAAAGAACATAAAAAGAAAATGGTACTGAGGTTTTTGCATGAATAGTACAAGAAGTATCATCACCTTTTTGTGCCGATGTCCCAAAATATAGTGCCAATTATAATAGCACTCATTGTAGTAAAAAACAGCCTCACAGCATTGTATGATGGGGTCCTCCAGTAGACTAGATTTTGCTTCCAGAAGCATGTTCTAAACTGAGAGAATGCATCTTGAGCAAATGTGGATGCAAACTTCAACGGTTGTGAGCCAACAGGTGGAACACTTGCCCGCTGAATGGAAGCTTCCACTTCCCTGCAGGAGAATAAGATACAGATGTTAGAAGGGACAAAAAGTCATAGCGTGATAGCCAGCAATGTTTCTGGCAATCAAGCAAAACCAGTTTGGATCACCTATATTGATTGGAATTTCTATATATGACTGCAAAGTCTTCACCGATCCTTTCTTCAGCAGCAGGTGTACTTATTTCAAGCATCCAAGTCGCAGGGTTATAACTACTAGGAATTGGGGGAATACTAGGGATGCTCTGTATAAACAGTAAAGGGCCAAAAAGATCAATTAGAGCTTGAAAGAGAATTTCATGCAACGGATAGGAGTTTATGCATAGTACAGAGTATGCACGTAAACAATCTAGAGACAAGTTTCTTCCCTCCACACTCGCGAATGAAAAATGCCAAGTTGGATTGCAAAATAGGTACAAGCATTATTGTAATTCACCTGAAAGTAATCAATCATAATTTGAGACTTCTCTCCTAGCTTTCCCCCATATATTACTCGTCCCCCTCGTTTCATCAGAAGTAACTGCAAATTTCAAGAGAATGACATAACGCAGAACAATTTTGTGGCCATAACAAAGTTCAATTAGACAAACCTCGTCAAATGCTTCAAAAATTTCAATACTCGGCTGATGGATGGTACAGACTACTGTTCTTCCTGTGTCAACAGTGTTACGCACAGTTCGCATCACAATGGCAGCTGCTCGTGCATCAAGCCCCGAGGTAGGTTCATCCATAAATATAATTGAAGGATTTGCAACAAGCTCCACTGCAATTGTTAAACGTTTTCTTTGTTCTGTCGACAAGCCAGTACTGCCTGGCAACCCTACCAGAGCATGCCTTAGAGAGTCTAGCTCGACTAGTTCCATCACTTCTTCAACAAATTCCTAAAGAGTACAGCAGTGAAACCTTTGTGAGTTAGAAGGAAACAGAGGAATCAGAACGAAAATATTAAAACTCCTGAGTTTTGTCAGAGAAAAGACCTTTCTTTGTTTTTTGTCTACTTCCTTTGGCAGTCGTAGAAATGAAGAAAACCAGAGCGACTCAAAAACTGTCACTTGTGGAGAATGTATGTCATTTTGTTCGACATATCCTGCAATCCTTGCAAAAGTCTTCTGTTCTTTTGGATGACCAGATATCCTGATGTCACCTTCAATGTACCCACCAGTCTTCCTTCCAGCAAGGACATCCATCAATGTGGTCTTACCCGCACCACTTGACCCAACTAATGCTGTAAGCACTCCTGGTGAAAATAGTCCGCTAACATTTGACAGCAATTGCAACCTCTTTTCTGTGATACCTTGTGAACTCATTTCCTTGAAGACAAAGTAGAACTTCTTCAGCTGTGTACTATAATATAAAAGCCAGAGGGAAGCAAAATCACTTCATGCTGTTACCTTTGGCATGTCAACAAAATAGTTGACATTGTGGAAACTCATTATTAAAGGTTGAAATGGGAGAATCATTCCCTTCTTTCTACGCCCAAGCCTAGAAGGAATGGTATCTGATTCAGAATTTGCTACGCTTCCTGCCAGATGATGATAGGTGTGAAAAGACATACAAAAATTAGTGGCAAAAAGAATAAAGGATAAATCCTATACCATTCTCAACTCTGTTTTCCTGCGTGACCTCTGGTGGAATGGTTGCTTGAGATTTCCTGATAGCTGTACGATAAAAGAAGCTGTGAAAAACTGAACAATCTGATTATATAGTTCATAATTTATTCTCATACTTTTCAAAATTATAATGTAGAGTAATGTTGATCATCTGTCTAATAACTTACGATTAAGAAAAGTCAAGGCCATTGTCCCTGCAATATTGAGAAGCAGAGTGTAAACTAATAAGACCCCAAAACCTAGCCAATACCAGTAACCAGCACTGGGTAGACTGTGTGATTGGAGAATGCTGTACCCTAGGGAAATATTTCCAGAAGTTGTTTTCTGCCAAATGAAAATTTTGGCAAAGAGGTCATAATATGCATGCAAAAAAGGTTTGTGAATTATTTTCTATCACATATATAATGAAGAGAAAAACCAAACCTCCATCCATCTTGTTGCAGTAAATTCATTAACAGAAATTGCACGCTGCCCATAGGACAATGGAGACACCCAAAAGGCCCAGACCCACCATGGCTTAATCATTTCTGAAAGAATATGAAGTATATAAGGTAAGAGAAAAATAAATAAGAGAGGCATCTACTTCACAGAATCATCTGAAAAGTGTACCCTTCGGCATAATAAATCCTCCCAGCAAGAATATAACTAGTAGTGCTGCTGATCCAAATGTACTGGAGATAGTTATATCTCGTGAAACAGATGCAATCATTCGGAAGAGAGCCAGAGCCATTTGATGCATAGAAAATAGTAGAAGCATATACCGGAAAAATCTGAGAGATTTCCCAATTGGACAGATTAGAAGCTTGTTAAGTAAATGCAACTGCACATATAAAAGGCTGGAAAAGTGATGGGGGATACCTCCCAGGACTGGGTGCAAATCCAACACTGTAGTATACAACACAAGACCACACTGCAGCTTCAATAACAGAGTAGGGTACACGTGTAATCCAACTAGAGACGGACCAGGCCCATGCAGGATGGAAGAAATTATCTCTCTGCTTGTAAAATACTGGAAGTCGAAAAATCATAATAGGAAGCTCTGAGAGCCCGTTGAACATCATATGCACTAGGCCAAAAAATAAACAAGCCAGATAGAGATTTCCATTTGTCAAATCTGTTGGATGCAGTCGTGTTCGCAGGAACATTGTACACGTGACAAATCCTACAAATGCAACCTGTGGCATGAAGACATCATTTACAATTCCAGAATGACAGAAACAGACTTGTAGGCAGATTAAAGAATCGTAATGCCGCTTAAATACCAGAAAGATGTATTACGTCTAGGCAATCGTCATTCTAAAAGGTATTCAACAGCCACAAAGATGGACAAAGAAAAATAATCAATGGCCTCAAAGATGGACAAAGAAAAGTATTCAATGGCCTCAATGATGGACAAAGGGCCTAAACAGTCATGGTATCTTTTACCATTTTGGATCTGGACCATGATCCCATGGCATCTTTCCCAATTATGATTACACAAATTACGAATAGAGCAAGAAACTTTTTCAGAAAGAAATTGTTGGGGTGAGTATCCAACAAATGTTTCCTAATTAGCTTAAAGATTGTTAAAAATTGATCAATGTATAGGGGCCAAATGCTTAGTGGTGTTCTAAGATTACTCTCATCCAAAATCATTTTCATTTTTTAACTCTTTTTATGACTTAATGATGCAAATACCTTCCTTATTTTTCATCATTTTATACGCCTTTTCATAATTCAAGTGTAGGAAGGATGAGTTGAATTTATCAAAGAATCAGGAACAATAACAAAAGATTCATTCCTACGATAGATTACATCAGACTGTCAACCTAATTTTACTTGATTAACTAGACTGTTAACCTCTTTTTATACAATAAAAGTTTTTTTACAAACCCCCAGTTTTCATTTTCTTAAAAATACAGAGAATAAAAATATCTGTGCATCTTTACCAATAAAAGAAATGATATGTTAATGTGTACTATCACTCAAAAACATAGACTTTTGAATCAAATGTGAAAGCCAGATAAGAAGAGTTCTTAATATCATAAACTCTCCAACTAACTGTCTCTTAGCAATTAAGCAAGATTCACATGCACATGAAAGTAGTAGCCAGTCAAAAGTGCATAAAATGTGCCATGTTCACTCATTGAGAATTAGTATAAAAGGTCTACATATGCATAATTTAATACCAAAAAAATATCAGAGCAAGTTTTTAAAAAGTAAAACTTACAACACACAAGGGTAAGAGGGAAGAAAATACATGGAAAATTAGCACAATGCACAATATACTTGATGAGACAAAAAACAATCAACCAAAAGCAAGGTTATTTCCTTGACAGTCTTTTCAAGTTTGAGAGTTCAAATTGTTTTGGAAATTGCAAACAACAGGAACCCAAAATGACAAGTAGTCAAGTTTCTGTCAGAGGTAAATAGTTTAATCAAATTCCAATACTGTGAAAGTGCCTGCCTACAATGAAAATATTCATGTTTAAACACTTACCGGCAGATAAATACATATCTCAGTTTACTGATTGATAACTTCCTAATTTTATAGTATTGTATTGGCAACATTACCCAGTTTATGGACAGAAAAACCGTAAGACCAGCAATTTCTCAGAAAAACGATGTTGTTAAAAAGGATTGAATTATCTGGACCGCCTAACAAAAAATGAAGTGAAATTTAACCAATAAGATCAATTCGAAGACAGCAGTCGACACTTCAGTATCATGAACCCACAATGATCGACAAAAATCCTTCATATGATATGTTAACTCATATCAACTTATTTTGATATTCTAAATTCAAGTTTGACACTTGCAAAGACATATTGTATGGGAAAGGATACATCTTATATTCTTAACCCATACTCATTCCTAACCCTAGCAGCCTTGGGTCCAATGCTGTGATATTGCCTTAAGGATTACAAGTTACGCCATACAGGCTAAATATCGGATATCAAAGAAACAGAAGTATGGTATTTGTCTTACAGGACACAAAGCATACCTGGCATGTCCTAAAGATGTAGAGAAAACGATGTCTGCTAATTAGAAGTAATTCCCTAGCAAAACATGCTTTAAAGAGCTCCCATATGGACACAGCATACTTGGATTTAGACAAAGCTGAAGGGTGAGCATTGGATTTATCATATGAAGCTGAAATATTAGCTGCCAAATCCTGACCATATCTGGAATTTTGAAAAGCCTCAACAATTTTTGGAACAGGAATGAATACATAAGGTTTTGACCTATCAGCCCAGTATTGAGCCTGATCCTTTCGCGAGGTCACCTATAAATAGAAAACAGAGTGAGTGCCTAATGAACATCAATAAAGAAGCAAAGAAAATCAAAATATAATGTACCTCTTGAAGAAAGTCCGCTACACCCTTACGAGGTGGGAGTCGAAAGCCTAGAGACTCAAAGAAATCCACAACATCTGCCCGAGGGCCTTGATACACAATATATCCTTCGGATATTACAATCAGATCATCAAATAGATCAAAAGTCTCAGGTGCAGGCTGAAGTAAAGCCATTAAAATTGTTCCTTCCATTAAATGAACAAAATTCCTCAAGCATTTGACAATTTGGTAGGTTGTGGAGCTATCGAGTCCAGTGGATATTTCATCCATGAATAATGTTTTCCTGGGGCCAACCACCATTTCTCCTATACAAAAAAAATGGAAAAAAAAGAAAGGGTAGAGAGAGAGAGAGAGAGAGAGATTAGTATTTAAAGGAAACTACAAAACCCAAAAGGTGCAAGGTTCCTCACATCAAAACCATAGCTAACTCAAACTTGTTTTTCTTTTCCCCTGTTAACTTGCCTTTCTAATTCCTCCACCTTCATCTTTCCCTAAAAAACTTCGTTAAATTTGAGTAAGTTACAAACGAATTTAGTGATCTACAACTTCTTTTAACTTTATTTTGTTGCAGAAATGGGCCATCCAGCTATTCCTTTCCACTGTCACCAAAAGCGTTAGCAATTGAAAAAGGGAACTAATTCTCTTCTTTATTTCCTTACTCTATTGAGCTTTCTGTGGAGAATCTCACCATAGAACTAATGCACAGGGACTCAAACAACAAAATAGATTTGTTTGAAGCAGATTGTAAACAGATCATAAACAAGTACACAAGAAAATTGATCTTGGACTATTAGAGCGCAAGTAAACATCAATCACCATTTGTTCAAAAGAATGCATGTGGATAGAGATACTAGTAGGAACAAAAGTTTACAAAAATGTGGCTTAAGAAAAATAGGATATTCAAGACAGTGTCAGCAAATTTGTTGACAAGAAACAATACTGATACAACAAGAAGTAGAATGCCTTGATATCGTTTGCACAATCAGATGTATTCCCAAAGGTTGCACTATTAAGGTTTCTGATGCTTAACAGATGTGGTTTTGTCTCAAAAGGATACACTAGACACACATCAAGAAACAAAACCATCTTAATAAGCCACTTGCTAATAATCATGCTCTAAACCAGGAATCATGAGAAGTATCATTTAACCACTTCATAAAAATTTGGAGCACAAAGTGCAATTATATTTTTTTTGGGGATTGAAATTAGTTTGAATAAAACCAATCTCTCTGAACTCAAGCAAATTCCAAGAACAAGCATGTGGAGTCATTTGCATCAAGTATGAAGGAGAAATTGATCATGAAAATCTTCAAGAATGCATAAGAATAAAGCATATAACTCATGAAAACTGTGAAAATATAGAGATATAAGGCCCCAATCACTGGGGCACTTGAGGAGCCAAGTTTTTAAGAGACTAAGATAGAAAGAAAACCATGTATTTCAACCATACTGGCAGATTTTAAGGTGATACCACAGAGGCAGCAATAGACCTGTAGTGACTCTCTTTCTTTGACCACCTGAAATGCCCCTAAGCATTTCATTACCAACCAGAGTATCTGAACAAGCATCAAGACCAAGAATTTTCAGGTAGTATTCGGTGGATACACTGTGCTTAGTACCACCAACAGATGATGCCTGAAATAAAACATTGTTGCCCAATCATCATATGGAAATATTGCAAATGGCAAATTACTCTAATAAGATAACTGAACAAGATACAAAAGCCACCTTCATAAATGCGTCAATCTCAGGAATAGGACGTATATTCCTCTCCTTCTCTAGACGAGTAAGATCTTTCATATATTCTGCAGTTCCAGATTAAAAATGCAAATAAATAACAACTTTGCTGTCCTTCAATAGCAATCAAATACTCTGACAAAAAATCCCCAAATTGGACAACTAAAGCTCTTGAAGCCCTTTAAGCCAAGGGATTCAAATGATATGTCCTTGGATACTATATCTGTCCTTCCATGACTGCTGAATCATAAACTATGAAAATGGAAGAAAGGTAAAAAATGTTTACAGCCCAACTAAATCCTCACCAACAGGGCAAGTTAGTCAGTGGGATCTAACCTATGGCAACCTTAGCTTAGAGTGAAAACCCCACAACCTTGACATGATTTGCCTAACCATTTTACTGGTACAATGAGAATGACACAAATATCAGGAAATGGCTTGGACTCAGATTGAATAAGAACAAACAACAAACTGACAACAAAAAACAAGGATGGAGGGCAAACTGCAAAAATGAGAAACAAGTTCTATCTAAGCATGACAACCGAATACCCTGATGTAAAAGTAGGCATAGTTACACTTCAACCAAGTTCCACCTATGATATTTTCATTTTAATGGTGTCCCCAATTTTATGAATATAAATGAGCCAAGAATCTTAATATAGAAATGCACAATCAAATGATATCAACATTAATTCTGGTGTATTGAATAAGCTAGCAACTGAATGTGGTGAAACCATAAGGACAAACCTGCAAAACCTTCACTTGCACCTTGGCATCTAGCTGCAAAATCCAATGTTTCCCTCACAGTCAACTCGGCAATGTGATTATCTGTCTGACTAATGTAAGCCGAAGTCCTTTGAATGCAAAATTCCTCAAGCTTTTGACCATTATATGATATGTTCCCACTTTTCTGGTACCAAATTGTTTTGTTATTGATGAGAAAAACATCAAAGGTGAAATTCAAACATCCTCTAAAGATAAAGATGATATAATCAAGTCTTCAATCATAAATGTGCTAAAATGGAGAAACTGAGTCAAAATATTGACTACTTTATATTTCAAAAGTGCCTACTTGATTTGTAAACACTCCATATGAGAAGATCTTCTAAATAAGACATTTGCAAACTTCAAAGACCACAACAAAAAAAATTCTTAGCACCAAAGCCAAAAACAGATGTATTCTCCACATGATAGAATACAGTCATATGCAAGTGAAAAAGACTTTATTCTTTGTCAAAGACATATTTTTCATGTTGGGTAAAAGCAAGCTACAATGATCTAATAACAAGTCTAAGTGGAGGTCAACAAAATCCAGAAACGAGGGCTAAGTTTTGATGCAAATATCTTCGGAGTAATTGACCTTCTTTTTTCCCATCTCCCACAAATGCATTAGGAAAGAAAACACCAGCTAAATTATCATTTGTTCCTCCCACTTTATGTCTTTGAAGGTCATGTAAATCTGATGGCTTGAGAAACATGAGCAGCCAGATATTTGTATTCTTATTCAATCAACACTACTTTAGAAAGTTTATCTGACTTGAACAATTAATTCTTGCATCTTGATATCAGGACATGTCCTGTTCCATCTCACAATATTAGAGTTATTTTATATCCCCGCTTTCAACAAGTGGCTTTAAGTATGACAAAAGGAAAATTAAATTTGGAATAAAATTCTGTACAACCCTTCTTTTATAGCTCTTAATCAAGGATCCCAGATTTGTACTAGCAGTTGGCAAAAGATAACTACGAATTGATAGGATTTCTCAGTTCTGCCTACAAATAAATCAATCTATTCAACAATCTGGGAACATGTATTACTAGTCCAACAAGAGAGGTTGGAATCAATATACGGTAAACTAACCTTCAATCCCTCATCAATTTTTCCTGCAAGAGCTCGTAGTAGTGTGGACTTTCCAGAACCTGGAGGTCCCAAAAGCAATGTCATCCTAGAAAAAGCCAGATAGAGAAATAATTAAACTTACAGTTGCTTTAATTCCTATCATGAATTTCAGTTGTAGTAGCGGATAGAATCTCACTGAAGGTGATTTTTTTTTAGCGAAGTTCATTGTTTTTAACTTTACTTTTTAATTGCCCTAATGCTTTTAGCCTGAGTCATCAATTTGCTTGAAGAAATCAACTATAGCCCCTTTCCTCCGAGTAGATCTTAGTTTGCTTAAGTTGCAAATAATTGTAAGATTACCGGGTGTCAAACCAATTGCATGCTAGTACATTCTAGTCTACATTGGAGGTCGTATTTCTTGATTCAAGATGGATACGTATGTTCCTGATAAAGACAAACGCGTAACTCCAGTCTAAGACATGCAAGGTTATTTGGTGTAATTCACGCCTTAAACCCTCTATGTACTATACAGTTACTCAAATTTCTAACAGATTTCACATTGCTCTTAGATTTCTGTAACAATAAGTATTAAACATGTAGCAAGGGGTGCCTAACAAAAAAAAATGGAAAAAAAAGTAGCAAGGGAAAGGTGAGAGAGAGTTTTTGTACCTCCCAGGCTTTACAACACCATTGAGATTATTCAAAATGGTAAGACAATATCTCTTCGGCCGAAAAATCTTCAGCTTGGTTAAAACTTGCTGCAATTAATCAATGTAATTCAGGTTAATATACAAAACTAAACCTCAACTCAGTATTTACCATCAGAAGTTACAAGAAATGGTAGATTGAAGAAATTAAATAACCACTGACTAACCTCGACGATATCACGACTGAAATTCACCAAAGTTGGCAACGCTCTAGACCCTACTTGCACGTTTGCTGTGATGTTAAGGTCCTGGAAGCGAACCTCAACTTTTGGTATCTCAATTCCCACTCTATCAATAAGGTAAATAAGTAATAATTAAGTCACAGTATAAAATATCGTGAATTTCAAACACTGATAGACGTAATAAATCTCTTAAGCGATGATTTAGAAAGAAATCCACCGTAGGGAAAGAAGACAAATAAATAACTTTCTATGCCTCTTCTTTTCACCTAATCTGAAATCATCTATGCATGGCTCAAATAGTAAAAAGCTCAACTCCCCAACCAACAGTTTCGCAACTGAGTTAATGCACACTCGGATACATAATGAACTGTAATTTAACCAAAAATATCACACATGACAGAATTGAGAGAAGGTCAATTTTCTATTATGAAGATAGAGGCCACGTGTGCATGCAGATTTTGGTACGTGTGTGTGGGTGTGGGGGAAGATGTAGAACCTATCGAGGCGTTCTTTAACGGCGGCGAGGAGTTTATAGTTATCCTGGTCGGAGGTAGCCAAGGCGCGTTTGACCACGAGTTCGCGATTGAGGCGATCGAGTTTCCTAACGTCGACGGTCTCACTCCTCGGCTCAGCGGAATCAGTAGTTTCGGAGGGCGTACGCCTCAACAGGGCGAAGTTGGAGCGCTTGTGCGTCGGCAACCTCTCAAGCGCCGCCCACACGAGCTCCTCTTCATCCTGCTCCACAAACTCCGCGTTCGACGGCCTCGAGAAACCATCACCTTGTGCTTCTACTATTACGTCGAAGTATTCGCTCCCGTCCGCCGCCGCCATTTCCCAAAGATCTCAAGATATCTCTCTCAAAATTTACTCATACAATCTTTGATCATTAATTTATTTCTTCCAGCATTTTATCCAACCGTCGTTCTTCTTCTTTTCCCTTTTTTTTTGGTCTTTTTTACATGTGAATATGAAAATAAAAACAAAAAGGAAAAAAGAAAGAAAGAAAGAACTAAAGGCGGGGAGAATTAATGATCAGAAGTTATCGAAATGCGAATGATATTTGGTCTCAGGTGGGATAGCAGCTTAGTTTGTTTGGAGAAGAGATCGGGACTAAATGTCACGGGTTTCTGTCTCACGAATACTCGCGTTGTATGAGGTCATGGGCGGGGTGACCGGCTTAAATTGAAGTTTTGAAGAGGTTAAAAAATCTTAAAACTAGGGAAATTGCCGCGGGTGCGTTGCTTGAGCCCTACGCTGTAGCTGCCATCAGTTAGTCATCAGAAGCAGTAATTTTTATTTTACCGGTGGGTTCTTAATTGCAATTTGTCCTTGGGTGGGAGTTTAGATCACGGGCTGATTAACCTTTTTTTTTTTTTTTTTCTTAGACGATGCCGTGTCTCTAAATCGAGTCCTACCGTCCATACATTAGCTACCCAACTCTTACTAGGACTCTTGTCAGACAAAGCTTTGGTTCAGCTAGTTTTGAAGTAATCAAATTATACACCAACAACATTTTGTGTTTGATAAAATTTTAAATTCCGTAAAAACTTCATTAGATTAACATAATATTTGTAATTTATATGTAAAAAATTTCAACAAATTAACATATATGATATTTGTAATTTACATGTATAAAATTCCTGCTATCTCTACCCCAGCTGGTTTTATAAGTATAAGTTGATGAAGTAGAAGCAAATATCTAACACGTGTCCTTTTAGAGTTTTTTTTTTCTGAGTTAAAATGGAGAGTTCAAACCTTACGAGAGGAAAAGAATAAATGGGAGGTTTTGACAATTGAACCACAACTACGGAGCTCACAAGTCCATCGAAGGATTATAACTTAAAAAAAAATCGTTCAAAATGTTCCTTACATTTCATCAAATAAAAAATTCATTTGATGAATATGAGGACATTTTAAATGATTTTTCTTGTGTTTAACCTATTCGGATGCTAAAACTTATCTCCATACATAGCTATGGTAAGTAACTACAGATGAAAGATAAAAAGGGATAAGAGCTCTTCCGGGTTATCATGACGAAGGAGGTCATGCCATGACACCTATAAAACATCCAAGGAGACAATCAAGGACCTTTTACAAATACAAAAATGGCTCATACTTGAGTAGGCTCGATTTTTAAAGATTCAGTGATCCACATTATCTCACTAAGTGGTGTGGTACAATTTGAGTCATTAACTATTTGAAAACCGGGTCTAACCAAGTTTCGCCCTCCTAAAATTACATCCATTATGTTACCCACTGGAATCAACTCCGAGCTTTCCTCCTACTTAGGTTTTGGTGTGAACTTCTTCAATAAATAAATAATTTAAACTTAAACACAATTTCAAGATATATTCACTTCATAATCGAAAAAGTCAAAATTAGGGATGGTAATTGAGCAGGTGCCCACGGCGGGTTAATGAGGTAAGGGGTCATTTACTCCCCCGTTAAGAAATAGGTCAGGGGACGGGAAATATACACCCACTCCCTAATATATATATATATATATATATATATATATATATATATATTAAATACATAACATATTTAATACTATTAGTTGCAATAATTATATTATTAGTTATGAGTATCAAATTATGTATATGTAATATAATTAATATTATTAATTATACTAATAATTATATATTTATACTAATACAAATTATTGATTAGTTATATTAATACATTTATACTAAATTATTAATTATCCTTTTTCCAAAAAAAAATTATATACATTTTTCTCCCGCAAGCACTTGGAGGGGAAGTAGTTTGGGAAGAGGGGAACGGGGTAACAAGGGGCGAGGTCGAGAGCAAAGAGAAATATTTGGGCAATGGGGCGGAGGTTGGGATAAGGATCCCCTGACCGTGGCCATTCCTAGCCAAAAAGTTTTTTTTTATAGAATAATAGCCAAAAGTTATATGCACTAAATGTGGTTTCCTTGTCCTTTGTAGTGTCAAACCATTAAGGCATAATCTGGAAGTATAAGATGAGATTTTGCAAGTTTTTATTCTCAATACTATTTTTCTTTTTATATTTGGACTCTCTCGATTTAAAATAAATTTATTTGCAATATCCTATATATATATATAAAGGAGTTGTAGTTTGTCCGTCGGGTGATTTTTATCTAACATTTTAAGAGGCAATTGTGTCATAGAGAATCAGAAATCTAATTGTGTCCTTTCTCATCCTATATCACCTACTCTTCAATAGAAATGATTGCAAGACGGTTACCTCAATTATTTATCTACTTATATCACAGGACTACTACTTTATCTATCTATCTATGTAAATAATATGAGGTTGAATAGTAGAATTATTCAGCATCAACTCTCAATTTGAACTACAATTATGTCTACTATCCCTTCACTATGGTTGCATAAACTTTTATAATTCTCTTAACTGATTATCTACTATAGTACTATGCAATATTTTATCTACACATGGTATGACATTTTTGGCTACCATTAATAGTATGCCTTGCCTAAGGTAAAAACAAATTGTTCAACATTACCAAATTATTTAAGAACACCGTAGGTATAAACTCCTATGCTTTGCATGGGGCTTCTCCCTAGTAAATTTGATAAAATTTAGAGGTGTCAACCGCAACCCAATTATGTTGATCCTTCCAAACTCGTTTATTAATAAATAGACTTGAGCGTGCAATGAACACTAAATGGGTCTAACTAAGTGCTCAATTAAACACATTTAATTGGTGGATAGTGAGATGGTTCGACTCATTCATTTATATCCATTTAAAAATAATTATACATTTAAACTCAATTTTTAATGAGTATTAAGCAGATAAATTTGAATTTCTTACCATTCTAATAGTGATAAAAATGTCGTTATTTTTTGTCAAAAAATAATCAAAATTTTTTTAAAAATAAATAGAATTTCAAGTGAATCATAAATGAGTAATTGGGTACATCCATATCCATTTCTTAAACGAGTAATTATCCAATTACAAGTTCAAACCCGTCCGAATCATCTATTTTGATACCTTCAATAAAACTGGACCTATTCGGGTTCCCTTCCGAGCAACACACGCCGGAGGGTACAACATATATTCCTTCCAGAAATTGTGAAAATTGGCTGAGTTTCATTGAAAATGAGAGTAGGAAATAGATTTTCGTTTTTGGACTCGTGAAGATATCCCATTTCTTATGGAGCTCTTCAAAAGAGAATGCCAAAAGTTGCTCGAGGTTTTAGCTTGTAGTAGACCAGCATATCATCCATTACGTCCACAAAACTCTTATGTTATATTGTGGTTGTGTTCGTTGAAAGCATATGGAAACAATTGCCTTTCGTTTAGAACATGATTCGGAGCTTTTATTTTTATTTATTTTTTTTTGCCATTGATGTATTTAATTAAGCTCACGCAATTTGCAAGCTATTCATCGTTTGATACATTTTTGTTACTCAATACCAATTACTATTATTGTTAACAGTTCTACGCACTTCACAATCAAAACTCAAAAGCAGTCAAACTATTTTGCAATTTCGCGGATTGTTTTTCCTCCGTGCGACAATTTCTAGGTCATACGATTCGAATAGTTTGGACCATATGTATGCTTTTTCGCCCTTTTTTCTTCATCTCTTTCCATCAACTTTTGGGTGGATGAGTACACTTTTGTCTTTGATTAATGGAGACTGGAAACTACTCGTGTCATCATGCTGGATTAATACACCGTTTGTTGAAGTCAAAAGAACAGCATTAATTAGACGTAACAGTTTCCTGAAGGTAAATTTTTGTGGTGGAAGGATATCGAGAATGACATACTGAAATACCCGCCACCTATACCTTTTTCAACTAAATCATTCACGTAAAAGGTTCTGCCTCTTTCACCATCAGAAAAATGGTCATCAATTGAGTCCTCGTCCGATACAATTGAAAGAGGTTCTGAGCTTGCTCAATAAATACTTCAACTATCAAAAGCATTTGCTGCACGCCGGATGGTGTATTAGGTGTAAATTTCACGATTAGAGTCTGCATTATTTCAAGGGAAACTTTTGTCGAGACCCTTATGGATAACATACATTCTAGAGATCAAGGACGTAGCAAATTATGCCTTTTGTCTAATATTGCCATTTGAGTTATTAAGTTTTGCTCTTACTGGGATTGATTGAACTTTATTCTTCCTATCATCTCAGGTTGTATGATTTTGTCATGACTAAACCAGAATTGGAAAACATTCTGCGCCTGTTACTTAACAGTAGAAGTATTTCTTCTCTGGATTATAGATACATACGGACGCATGCTGGTTTTGACATAGGTTTGTTTAAAAAACATTGTACAACCCTGCAAGTGTCTGATGCTATCCCAGAGTTCATTAGTTCAAGGAAGCGAAGCCAATTAATGGTCCAAGGAAAATGAAAAATGTTTTCAAGGAGTAATTATACTTCCCGAGAGAGAGAGAGAGACAGAGAGAGAGTGTGTGTGTAAAGGCAATCCTGTATTGCCACGATAGGAGATCGTCGATGAGTAGACCTGCAAACGAGTCGAGCCGAGTTGAATTTTAGCCTAATCGAGTCGAGTCTCGATTTAATTTTATTGAATTCGAACTCGAACTCGACGAGCTGGCAATTTAAAGCTTGAGCTCGAGCTCGACTTGGCTCGAGCTCGAAAAAAATAAAAAATAAAAATTTAATTTTTAATAAATAAAAAAATAATATTTTTTTTAATAAATAATAAAATATTAAGGATATATATGTAATTTTATACTTAAAATAAAAAATATATATATACTTAAAATAAAAAAAATAAAAAAATATATTAAGCTCGATTTCGACTCGAACCAGCTCGAACAATTTGATTTATTTGCAATCCTAGATGAGACAATGGCCACCGCTTCTAGGATTACCATTTTACGATGATTGCCTATGCAGCTAGCGCCCGTAACTATCTTCTTCCGGAAGGCTGGAAGTCAAGGTTACGAATATCTGGGCAATATTACACGGCTCGACGGCTAATCCTATCGGTTTAATAGCTATGTCCATTGCTTCCCTCAACCAACTTGTTATCCATTTTAATCGTTAAGAAATAAATTTCAACCGTGTGAAAACAGGCAATCATTAACTGATGACGTGTGCAATCATTAACTGCTTCATAAACATTAATATTTTTCTAATCTTTCTCATACTTGCTAATTTCATGATGGACTGCATTTTTCACTTCCTCTCTTCATCTGAATTCAAATTGGTGCTAATTTCTTATACTTGATTACTTCTGCAAGGGGGAAGAGGGGGTGGTGGGGAAAGGGGGGGAAATAGGAGGAGGAGGAGGAGAAAGAAAATAATTAAAAAAATAGAGGGGAGGGTGAGCTGGCAGCCGGTGGTAGGAAGATCCGTGGAGGTGTGGAAGAGGAAGAAGAAGAGGGGAAAGAAAGGACCAAACCGAAAAAAAAAGGAAAGAAGAAAGAAAAAGAAAAGGGAAAAATAATAAATTAGTTTTTCAAACACTCAAATACACAAATTCTACTCCCAAAAAACACGCCAAAGTTTAATAGAAACATCCAAATAAACACACCATCCACGAAGCCTCAGAATAACCGTACACCTCAGGATTACAGTAGAGGGAATTTTAACTATCCATCCAAGACAGCAACGTTCCGTATCAAAAGATCACATTCAAAAAGGATTAATTACACTTTGATATTCACACGACTTACAGAAAAGCTGGAGAGCAAACAAAAGCAACCTACCTACGGTTAGTCAAGAGCAGAGCAGGGGAGAATTACAAAAACAAAAAATTTGAAATATTACATCCTGCTCAGGGCTAATAATAATACTTAAAACACGAGAAGAGCCAGGGGAACCCGAGGAGGGAAAGAAAAACATCAAAGGAGTGCGACGGGAAGAAATGGCAGCCTATACAAGATTAGCAGACAAAAGTCGACACAAGTTGCTTTCTTGTTTTCCTTTCACCCAAATTCAGTGGTTCCCCAGAGGAATTTGCCAAACAGCTAGTGCTTCTTAGATGATTTTGATTTTGATTTTGATTTAGAAGTTGAAGTTGAATCTAGATAAGGTTGCTTAGACTTAACAGTCTTACCTTTGGTGGTGAATCCATCATCATCAGAATCACAATCACTTTCATCTCCAAATTTTCTTTTGGCTTTCTTCTCGGCCTTTCCGCAGAGAACAATCTTCCTTTCATCTATAGGCTTCTCAATTTCATGCTTCTCCTTTGGTCTCCAAATAAAGAGAGACCTGTGTAACGTACAGTTAACACTCAAACCATCACACGAAAATATCCAGTGCTTCAAACAAGGTTAGGACTCCAGAAACCTATAAATGTAAATTACATAATAATCTCTTTTGCACTATACCACTCAAAATATTTGACTGAAAACTAATATATCTGAAACAGAATGAAATGGAAAAAAATGACTAAACAAATTTGTCAAATCCACAAAAGCTACATCTCAAAACAAGATCAAGACATGGTGGAGATACTACTCAAAAACTTTTTGACCATAACAATAAACGAATGATCAGCCAAGAAGGATCGATGACAAAAATCAAGCATCAAGTATTAAGTAGACGAGTAGATGTGAGCGCTCAATACAATAATTGTATTTTCACTTCCAATACGGGACAAACTCATCAAACATCCTAATTATGAGGCATAAAAATCATAGACTGGAATTTTAAATGACAATCAGAAGCAATCTATTATCCACATAAAGACGAGCCTTAACATAGATTGCAGAAGGAAGCACACAGATACAAACAAACCTTGCAAACCATTAACTGACACAAGTGAGGACATAATAGGATCCAAACCTTGAACTACCAGATGCCAAAATATCATCGCGTGGATGCAACTTGTTCACAGGACTGATAGTTGTAATGTTTGGATCCATGATCTCTGCAACTAACTGCCCTGTGCTGATGTCTATAAAATCAATAGGATGCAGAGCAGCTCCATTATAGTTTTCACTTATGTAACGTCCAATAACAACAAGAGACTCCGATTGGTCCTGTGCGAGTGTCTAACGTTAAAAACCTTTGCCATTTACTTCTAAGCAGTCATTTCTACACGTACAAATAAATGCTGTAAAGCTATGACCATTGTAGCTAACCTTTGGATCCCATTCAGCCCGAAAAGCTGTCAGATGTCGATTAAAATCATGACTATGCACAATCTCTCGACTTGGAGAATCAAGGCTTCCAAAGATGGAATCCCACACACGAATCCGGTTATCCTGTGATGTAGTGAGTATTTTACTACCAGTAAGTGGTGAAAAATATGCTGAGTTAACAACTCGTTTGTGTGGTAGATCAACAAGAGAGGATCCAGTCTCCAACTGCCGCATATCCCATATACGAGCCTGAAATGAGAAATATTTAGCAACAATGAACATGACCATTCACACAGAAGCCTGCTGCAATCATAAGCTTCACATATCATAAAAGATATTATCCATCTCCTATTCCAGTTTATTCATGTCAAATATACCTGTTTTTCTTAACAGCAACAGAGTGAAGATAGTGGTTTAAGCCAAAGCAATAAGTAAAATGTCACCAAAAGAAACATAACATGAATAAAATGGTAAAGAACCTTACAAAGTGATCATTCCCACAACTTAAGAGAAGATCTGGTTGAAGGGGATTACAGTGCAGACCAACAACTTTGCTTCCTTTCTTATGAATGAGAATAGGCTTCCCTGTCACATTGTTGGAGCGCATATCAACCCTGAAATTTTCAATTACAGATAAATAATCGCGGGCAAGGCAGTATCTTATAAGCAGACTAACATATAGATGAACAGAGATCTGCACATGAGAATACAATCTTTGTAGAAGAAACAGCTTGAAGAAATTTAGTAAGAAATGAAAGTAAGCATAACTGTCCTCCCTTCTTTGTTCTTGAAACTTTTCCCATTCCCTCATTTTTACTCACAACCAATTAAGTTGGGATTTCATTTATTGTTGACATGTTAGAACAACTATTTTTGGATATCTTGACCAAATAATTTCTGACTCACTTAGAAAATCGGAAGGAGAGAAAATTTGCAGAACCTTAAGATTGAGGGGATCTATGAAGAAGTGGGAGGAAGGAAGAAATCCACAACTAACCAGTAACACATTGATATCTCCAAATTCTGAAAATAACACTTGGAAAGCTAGACAACTAGGGCTAAGAAGCACCAAAAATTAAGGATACATTCATTCGAAACCATGGTGTTGATAGACTCAGTAAGCTTCCTACCCTGCTTAGTAGAACATGATCACATAATTCCTAATACACACTTTTTTCCAAGACTTAAAAGCGCACATAGTAGCGAGGGGCTTTTTTTGGGCTTTTCTCCGTCCATAAAGAGCTTTGAGCTGATGGCTCACAAGAGCTGTCAAAGGGAACAAATGGTGTAGACTATAGATCGAATATTAAAGCAAGACTTTTAGTAACAATTCATTACATTTATTAACCACATGCCTCGAATTTGCACAACTGAGCAAATAAAAAACTTCTTCTCACTCACACCTATGCAAAAATTCATTATCAAATGCTTCAAAAGATATGGTAGCCAGAGATTAATTTGTAACCACAATAGATAACAGAACTTATACATACGTATACAGACAGCCAAAGTTATCTGCAACAAGTACGACTCCTTTGTCCAAATTTATGTCCAGCCCATAAAGCATCCTCCAAGTGCTTGGACCCTAAAACACATCCATCAAAATCATACTCAGGAAACCCAAGAAAGAAAGATTGATATACATAACTAGCCACATTTTAGCAAATGCACCAGCAATGGATGCTCAAACTAGTGTTTTTCCCATCCCTAAAAATGGAGTAACATCATTTCACAGAACAGCAGCTCTCTCAATAAGGAGCACCTTGAGGATGATGCACTGTGTTCAAATCAAGTGAATAAGAATAATAATAACCGGCATATAAGTCATCTTAACTCTTTAAGTGTAACTAGTCAACTCAACATAAATTTTATCTCAAGCTTACAGTTGGCGAAATGCTTAAGCAAATTGAAGTTCTTAGTTATTTATTATACAACTACAGTGAAAAGTTTAAACCTGATACTGAGCAACAACAATAACAAGAACAACAAGGACAAGATAGAAAAGAAGTAAAAACGAAAAGTGGAATTAGGAAACTACTCCAGGTCAAAACTTGCACAAAACAAATAAAATGTGTTATTTCCAGTTATAAACCAATGTAGTACCTGCCAGCCATTAGGATTAAGGTTCATCAATGATAATGATATTCCAGTCTCCAAATCTACGCAACAAGCTGTCCCATCAGAAGAACCAGTATATACTGTTCCATCATTTCTTGGATTTAACCTACATATGTATCGTAATCAATCAATCCTTCCTATCACATTGTGAAATTTCACCATAAACCGTGTGTTTTAACAGGTGACACACGTACAAGGAAAAAAATTTATAAGAACTGGTAAAAGCAATGCTCACTTCATGTTGTTCAGTATACAACCATGTATTTCACTGTAGACAGTCTTCTCATATACCTTGCAAAAATCCCAAACTCCAAGTTGTCCTTTCTAAGCAAGATGAGAGGCACAATTCACTGATCACTAACTCATCCATAGAACAATAACAGTCAACAAACAGCAAAGAAAAGTATCAGAATGAACCCAGACCTTATCACCAGATAGGAGAATGTTATCATTTGTAGGATGGAACTCCAAGCATGTTACTCGTCTACTATGGTATCTTATAACCGCACAGTTTACTTGATCTGGAATGACAAATTCTGGTTTCATCTAATGCCAAAACCATGAAAAAAAGAAAATGAATAAACTTATATCCTTTTTTTTTGGGAGAACACATTTAACTAAGGCTCGGCCAACATACCTACCCACACAAAAATATTTTTTATAATTCAAAATCCAAAATCAACATGTTTAAGCATCGAAGAAAAACACAAATATGAAATCATCCAAAAGTAAATGCTAAATTCTACTATATCACAGCTAGAACAACTTTATTGAACATAGCGCTGAGAAGAAACTATCAAACAGAAGTTGTTGCATCATAAGCAAAGGTTTACTAATATAACAACATTTTATCATGGAGGCAGGCATCCGAAACAAAATTAAGGGCAAATTATGGCAAAATCAAGACACGGACTTGTTGAGCTATAAACCTATGTCCAGTGTACAAGTGATGCTTTCAAGCAAAGAATGCTCACTTTAGGAATATGAGGCCTAAGCTGGCGCTGGAACACATAATCCAATGAGCTATGGGTGTTTCTCCGAGGTGCTGGGACAACCCCGTACTCAGTAGCCACTCTGTGAGGGCAAGTCATCGTGGTGTGCCCTTGAATGGCCAAAAATCATCGCAACCAAAAAAAAAAAAATTTATGAGTTATTAGTGAAGTAACACCTTAGAAACAGCAATTCCCAGCGTACAACGACGAAAGGAAAGTTAAAATTTAGACTTCTAACAAAAATCATGAAATAAAAAGAAAAAGAAAGGTACGAGCATGAAGGAGCTTGCTTACCTTGCAGACTTTTTTGAGACTAATAGTAATAGGCGTTTTTTTCTTGGTCACTGATTTCTCTTGCTCTTCTTCTCCTTCTTCCTCATCAGCCTTCGGTTCAGTTACTTCCTCTTCTCCTACGACGTCGTCTTCTTCATCGATTTCGTCCTCGTCAGACGAACTTTCTTCGGAGTCGGTGTCTCGCTCGATCACGACTTTCGGGAACGACGTTCTCCGGGTTTGTGGGGGCATTGTGGGGAAGTAAGCAAGAGCGAAACAGGGAACAGAGAGAATGTTGGGTTTCGGAAAGCACGGAATTCGAAGCGGTGGTTCGCTTGTGCAGAGTGAACTGTGCAGACGGCAAAAGTTCAATTAATTTACGCCCAGTGAAAGAAGTCTTAACGGACGACCTTTGCACACTACAGGGCGGGGACGCTTGGATATGAATTGACGATTGTATCCTAATGATTCTTCGGTACGGACGTCAGGAGTCCGGGATTTTCTCGACATTGTAATGTCAAGAAGGGCGGGAGATTACGTGGCCCGTTGTTAGCCCCACCTTTGGCCTTGTAGCCACGTGTTTCTCACGTGCCTCTCCGTAAGAATATGCTCTTTTTTTTTATTTTTGGGTTTTTTTTAAAAAAGAATTACCACAATGGTCCATACAATTTTGATAAATCATATTATTGTGTCTATCAGCTATAAATAAGATGTACTAGCTTGAGTTTTTTTATTTTTTTTAGCAGGGGAGGAGGCAAGAGGATCTGAACCTAGTTACTCTAATTTCGGAAGCCTAGCAGCTTGAGTTAATATGCACAATTAATGCAAATTAAAACAAGTAAACAACTAACAAATTGTTGTTTGGAGTGCAATTTTTTGAGAGGTTTTGTAGAAAATTTTACAGTAATTTTCAAAGAAATTATAATCTATATTAGGTAAAAAAAGTGATTAAAGAATATGATAAAGCATATTCTCATGGAAATCCAAAAAAAAATTTCTACAAAGAATGGAATCCAAACAAGGATCTATTTGGAAAGTGTATTTTTTAAGTGTTAATATAAAATTTTACTATTTGAATCGTGTATTTGATTGAGGGTTTAAGAAAAATAAAATAAAAAAAGACTTTTTTTTATTTTCTTTAACTTTTCTTTTTCTTCCTTTCTTTCCTCTCTTCTTCGTTTGCTCACACAATAGCAGTAGTCGAAGTTTCCTGTGGCAACAATGCCACCACTGGCCACTGGTGGTTGGTTGCCGGCCGCTGCCTCTTCTATTGAGCAAAGTTTCACCCTCCACTCCATTTTTCACATGGAGTCCGTTTCCAGTATTAGTTTTCACAAGAAAACAAATAAAAATTGATCAACATCAAAAGCACAGCTAGTGTTAGGTTTTTTTTTTTTTCTCTTTCCTTCTCCTCCTCCCTCTTCTCTCTTCTCCCTCAATTCTTTCCCCTTCTCGTGATCCCCACCTCCCTGTCCCAATTTGAACAAGGAAGAGGAAAAGAGAGAATAGAGGAGAGGAAGGAAAACGATGGAGGTGAAAAAAAAACAAAGAAAAAAAAGGCGGCTACAATGTGGGACGGCAGTGGTGGAAGGTTAAGGTGAAATGATGGTGGTAGGAAAAAAAAAGGTGTGTGTTTTATGATATTTTGATATTTGTATTTTAAAAAATATAGGGTATTTTTAGATGTTGCTATAGACAAAATTATTTAAAAAAACTTTTATTATAAAAACTAGGCAAAAAAACTAGGGTCCCAAATGGCGTCATTTGAAGAAGACGTGCGATAGATTTGTGCGGCAATTGCCAATTTCCATTCCCAAAAGTCTAGAGTACCGTGCTGATTTCTTAATCCATTCGAACTGAATTCAACAATGCATGTTAACCTACTCAAAAAGCGTGTTAAAAACAGTTGTTTTATGACATTAAAGCGTGATTTAATTGCAAATCGAGTCACGGCCGTGCCAGAAGTTCAATTATGGTCTGGACTCTGGACCAACTACAGCTACTTAGCAAACCCAGTGACTTGTCTTTTGATCAATGAAAATGATGTAAATAATGTCGTGGAACCCATTAATTTCAAATCAAATACAATTAATGACGCGCTTGTTTGTCCAATTAGTAATAAGAATCTGATCAGTGACTAAATATTGGACTTGTCAGGTGGTTGGCTTAAATGTAATGAAATTTCTGGTGGGTCATTGGCTTTCATTTGGAATTTCTGATCAGTCCCGCTCCTAGTCCGTGTGAAATCCAGCTTAAGAAGTTCCGTTACAAACTGGCCCACTAGAAACCGGCTATGGACTGATCTGCTGGTATCTTCGTTGAAATGCTCACGTGTTCCTGCACTTGATGAAGACGGGATGACGATGAAGGAAATGTTTGTGTTAGATTGACGAAACGGTATCGCTTGTATAAAAAGATGTTGTGTTGGAACTGTTGAGGAGGCAGCCTACGTGACGTCACCCAATCTAATAAGAAAATCTGCCATGGAACGGAAGCAAACCATCCAGGGACCCATAGCAAGCACTCATTGCTGAAGAAGTGGATAATGCTTCCGTTTCTTTTTTTTTTGGTAAAATAAAGGTTTTGATGGATCCGGCTCCGATTATTACCACGAATTATTGGTGAGACATTCTTCCATATTGTTCGCTAATATATTTTTAATATTAATAGCAAGATTCGAATACATGATTTTTTGTGGTAACAAAATTAGTCCATCTTTGCTAACCGAGCGGACTCGTGTTGGCGAAAAATGCTTCCATGATAATCAGCTGTGGCCGCCATTTTTATGATTATGAAAACCAGGGACTGAGGCTCCGGGCTTCTCTTCTCCTCTTCCACCGTCCGACTTCCCTTCCAGCAGTCAGCCCAACTCTATAACGCCACGTCATAAATTATTAAAACTAAGTTGACAATATTACCCTCTAACATAGGGTTGTCGTCCTCCCATTGGCGAGCGGCAACAATAAAAAACACATCAAAGTCAGGAGATTGCAATCCATTTGGCCACCTACGTCGATGTGACATCAACAGACAGGAGGATAAGAGCACTTACCAAGCAAAACCGAAGGATAAGGTCGTCATTAACTGAGAATTTAGCAGGCACGAAAGTCACAGACACTAGAAACAAAACCCCGCCTTTTTAAATATTTTCCTAATCAGGGGATAGTGTAGTGATACTTTAGCGGTTTACAAAAACGCGGGTGCAGTAGGCTGCGCCAAAACAGCTGGGGAAACGGATGATGATATTTTCCTAAGGTTTATCTTTATATATTCTGGGGTTTTTTGGCTGGGAATTTTTACGGGAGTAGAATTTAACGGAGATGGGGAAGTCATTTAAGGATTCTCTTAAAGCTCTTGAAGCAGATATTCAGCTCGCAAATACTCTGTAATTCAACTTCCTTCTCTGTCTCTCTCTCTCTTTTTCCCGACTGTCTTTTTTCAGCTATTATTTCTTATTTGTCGGTGTTTTTCCCCATTTGCTTTTTGGTAATTATGGGAGAACAGAAGCGGTTACATAAAATCAGAACCTGTTTAAATTCGATGATTGTTGCCCAACTATGGGTGCATGGTTTCTTGCGAGTTTTTTTGAGTGATTTTGGTATTTATGGTTTTATTTTGAGTGAAATTACATGGGATTATTATTGATGACCAAGAATTTTGCTAAGTCAACTGTTTTTTGCATTTATGCTTTGGGAAGCTAGCCAAATTTTTTAAAGGGTAGTTGGAATTTTTAATACACTATGCATGTCAGAGTCTTCCAGGGATTGTAAAATTTCATTTGTCTTTGATGAATAGATTATTTATTTTGGTTTGACACTTAGCAATCAACCATTGATTATGAAATGGAGTATCTAGTCCAAGGATGGTTTGAGTAATGAAGCCCTGCATTTCTTGTAGCTTGGTTGAAGAACTTGTTTTCACTATTTAGATCACTTGTTTGACGCCCAAATGCGTGCTCCATTGCAACTTACATGGAATATCATGTTTAACCTGCAACTATGAAAAAGGGTACAAAATTGTTGATTCGTCCTAAGCAACAATTGGCAAGCTGGCGATTTTATAGACTGAAACAGGGTCGTTATGAGACCAAAACAAGAAGGAATTCAATCTTGTGCTTTGTCAGTTTATGTGCTTTCTGTCATTATTGAATTAATGATACCCCGTGGTACTTAGACATCGAATTGTAAATCTACTACTGATGGAGGTTGTTGTCGTTACAGTGCAATTTTTGTCTATATCTTTTGCTACAAGGATGCAATTTTTTACTCAAATTCATTCTGGCAGAGTTCCGTAAATTTCTATCATGTCTTCCTGTCCAGGGCTTTGAGTTATCCAAGGGAAATTGATGGAGCATGCCTTCAAATGCGGCTCTCTTATGCTCCAGCTGCACATATCTTCCTTTTTCTTGTTCAGTGGTTTGATTGTCAGCTTGCTGGCGCTCTTGGCTTGCTTCGAATTCTCGTATCTATGGTAAGTCCCTGTTTATTGTACCTTCATATTGTAGCCTTGCTGTTCTACCTGTACCTTGTATCTGGTGCATGCTAATCGTCCTCCAGCCATGTTTCCTTGAGTAACAATTGTCTTTGAACACCAAAGTGACTACATTGTTACTTTTCTTGTGGGTTCTGACAAAATGATGGGCTTGTGCAGGCATATGCAGATGGCAGACCTGCTATGTCTAGTTATGAAAGGAAAGCAAGCATCAGAGAATTTTATGGTGAGTGATAGCTCAAAGGATTATTGTTATTTGATATTCCTTAAGTGGGGACTATTCTTTAGATACTATAAGGTGTATGCTTCTTTGCCGTAAAAACAGGTATAATTTTTCCTTCTTTATTGCAACTTCAAAGAGGGATTACAGATTTGGAAGACAACAAACAGAAAAAGATATGTTCACTTAAGTACTCAAGAAGGGATGAAATGGATCGTGGAAAAATATCTGAAATTGATCTAGAAAGAGAAAAGGAATGTGGAATTTGCATGGAAATCAATGGCAAGGTTGTGTTGCCTTATTGCGGCCACTCTTTGTGCCTAAGGTGTTATCGTGATTGGTAAGTCTGATTCTTTTCTTCTGATTCTGTTCTTGGAACTTGGCAAAATTTAGCATTACCTTTCTTGGCTTCCTGGTAAATTGAAGTCCACTAGCCTTTTTCCCTCGGAGCTTTAGAATTCTGTGCTGCAAATGATTTCAATGTCATTCAGCAACTGCTTTATTTTCCCCCCTTTTTGGGCTGCTTTATTTGATACCCTGCTATTGAGTGCCCCATTCCTGCCCCTTCTGCTTGTTTTCCACGGGGTGCCTTGGCATTTCATTGCAGATGTAAGACGCTTGCTGGTGCAGGGTCTACTGAATCAGGGAGGTCCATCTACGAAATGTGC